TTGAGCAGATTTCGACGAGCCTGAACACGCTTCGCGAAAGCTGATATGCGGTTGCGCAGCTGTTGGGCGGTTTGGCAGATCTCGTCAGGCTGGCACTCTCCGCTGGCGGCCAAATCCTCAGCGGCGGCCAACAATTTCTCTGCGTTCGTGTACGTGTTCTTGGCGACATTCTCGAAGTGCTGCTGACTTCGCTGCAACGCACGAGCGCGCTGCAACGTCCTGCCGATGCCGACGTTCTTCTTGAGGAACATTTCGCCGTGGTTGTTCAGCCAGTCGATCACCTGCGTAACACAGGTCAAGCAATGTACCAGCAGAATGATTTGAGCAAGAAACAGCACCAGTGCATGGCTCACCTGTTGCACAGATGTTATGTGAAACTAACATGATCATGGAACATGAGTTGTTGTCTTACCATCTTATCACTGTGCAAGAACTCACAGAGAGTAAATGAAAAAGTAGTAAATCACACTGTAGTCAAACATGTGGTAGGTTCTCGTGGTTCACTGACATCTGAAATAAAATAAAATTCTATTCATATATTACAAACGTCTTTTCACCTTGTGAACCTAACACAGTCGCAATAATCGAAACGAACACCCGCGCGTAACTTTAATGATCCCAACATTCAAGAAGATGAAATGCGACGTTCAAGATCTTGCGTAGAAATGAACGCTTGCATTATATCAAGTGTGTTGTTCAAGCTAATAGGTTTCTTTTTGGTCGCTTCTGATGATTTGCCGATGAAAACCAGCTCACAATCGTCGGCCACATATTTTAAAGAAAGAACTTGCATCAGGATCGAGAAACAAGAGGGTAAAAAACCTGGATAAGCTTGATAAATCGCACACGCATACCAGTTGTCTTTCAAATAGCTTCACCGTGACCAGAATTTAATGATGAACAGATACAACGTTATCACAAATGTTTCTCTGTACAAAAATTTAACTGCGTTTTGGTCTCCATTAATGGGACTAGAACCCATCCTAAGTATGGCATATGGCAATGTATTTTTCGTATTTGTTGAGATCACCTGGAGTTGTTGGCATAAGCAGAACGCTCCATC